ACATCCCCCCATTGTCTATAGAATGAAACCCACATTTCTTGTATTTCTAGGCACTGCATTACTATTTAGCCCCTTTGTCACTCCAGGATATTTCTCACTCTTCCTCCAAGCAGCCCCCATACAACATCAGTTTGGAATCAAATGCAAGAAATAAAAAATAAGAAGTGATAATGATTATAACAGAGGATTAAAAGATTAATATTAAGTAAAGCATATTCTTATACTGAAAACATTCATTCAATTTTAAATTTTGGCTGTGTACATGTAACAACATTTGCTTAACCCTTTGACATTCATCGCACAAAATCTGTGTTCATTTAATCACTACCAAAAGCATATGATATATACTCAGCAAGAAAGAATGTCAACCTTTTAGATCCTTTTGCATCTCTGTATGATTAAGAACTTATTTCTTTATTAGTATTTATTTCTCTCAAAAACTTTTGATCAGAATTTTTCTCCTAATTAAAAAGGAAACATAACTCATCAATAGTTAGACACTTCATTATAAGAGAGTCAGGTGATTTTTTTAGAATAAACATGTCTATTGTAGCTAATGAGAAAACCTAGAATTTATAGCTCAGTAGTGAATAAATAGACCTTTCAGAAATGTTTATTGTTCCAGTCCATTAAAATGTTATATCTTTTGGACAGTATTTCTTAAAAGCCATAAAATTAATAGTGTATTTTAAAAGTTTTATTGGCATGTATTTGCTAAATTTAATTTAGCTCTGGTGTTGAATTGTGCTGTCTCATACAGACTGGGAATCTGGTAGTTAATGTTATTTTTTCTGTTTAAAAAAATTTCCTTCAGGGCTAGCTTCCATTTTCTTGAATGCACTTATGTCACATTGCCTTGCATTTTCATGTACTGAAATCTTGAGAATCTGTCAGACTTAATCTAGATCTGGTATTTCTTTGTGTCTTAAAATTATGCTGAAATTTCAATCAGTAACTAATCCAGCCCCTGTCTCGATAAGATACAAGAAACTAAAGTTCTGTGTATCAGCTGCTGGAGTTAAATTTTCAGTCTTTCATTGCACAAACCAAGGACAGTTCAGAAAACTTTTAGTGCATACCTGCATTTTATAGACTATAGAAGATTATGACATTGTATATATCCTCAAATATAGAATAATGCTACATTATTTTTTACTGTATCTTCTGTAAATATTCTCCATAGTAAACAAACTCTACTTTCACAGAGAAGTTGCTTTCTGCCTACAAGTCCTAATTAAAATCTGTATAGGCACTATAAATATTTTTCTTTTTTAAAAAAATCTTTTTAAAAGGCTGAGTGAGAGAGAGGGAGATCTTCCATCTTCTACCTTACTCCCCAAATGCCTTCAACATCTACAGCAGGCAAGGCCAAAGTCAGGAGCAACTAACTCCACCTAGGTCTACCACATGGGTGGCAGGAACCCTAGTATTTGGGCTATCATCTGTTGCTTCCCAGGCACATTAGCAGGAAGCTGGATTTGAAGAGGAGTAGCCCAGTATTCTGACATGGGATGTTTTAACTTGCAGCACCATAACACCCATTCCACTTTTCATTTTTAGTCTTCCTAAGTAGTTACTTTTTCCTCCAAAGTTCCTGAACCACAATGACATAGATTAAGAATCAATATTTGCAGAAAAATGTCAGACTTCTTAGAGGCATACTGTTCAAATGTCTATCTTGTCCTCATCCTTATTGTTGTTGCTACACCTTCTTCATCAGCATGTTCCTGAAAGACTTGTATTCAAGGTTTGTCATCTGTTTCATCCAATCCATCTTCCAAACCATCCTGAGCAATTTTAGCATCTCTTGAAGTATTCTCCCAATGCCTTTGTCTTCTGGGACTACTGAGACCTTCACCCGGTCCTGCGTATCTCTCCAATTTGCCTTCCTTTTATAATCTTATGCTGAAGTGTCCCAGTCCCATTTCTGATTGTTTCTGTGTCTGTCCGTAACCTTTCTGTCTTATCCTTTACACAGATACTAAAGTCATATTTGCTAGCATAAATAAAAATAAAACTTTTCCCAACCTTCAACATTTTGGGTAGTTTCCCATTATCAAGAGTAACACTTCACATCTCCGCTTTACCCCTGCCATCATTGCTCACATCAAAAAAGGTAATAAATACGCAAAGATAAAATCAAAGTGGGAATATGAACCTGGAGACCATTACCTGGGGCATTGTGTTTCCTTCTAGTAGGTTCACTGGGCCACTCCTAGGTAGAAGGTAAGGCTCAAACTCCTTCACTTCAGAATCTTGTGTAGAATTCTTCCTGGCTCCTTTCCTTCCAAAGCAGAACCCCAGACAAAAACTTGAGTAGAAGTAGTTTTGAAGCAGAATCCAGGAATTAGTGTGAGACATGCAAAGGAGAAGCCCTCTGGACAGGTGGGTTCAGGTCTATTTAAGCAAATGTGCAGCATGAGCTACAGAATTGTCCCACAGAAGGACACCATAGAAAAGGACTTTGCCCATGGTTTATAACTCCTATGGATTGTGAATAGTGCCCAGGTCCAGACTCTGCATTTTCAGACTGCACCTGCAGGGCGTCTCAGAGGCCTCTGTGCTTCAGAGAATGTCCTGGAGTTTTGTAGGGTATTCAGCTATTTACCCCAGCCGCTCAGTACTCACACAGGCTAAATGATACAGAATAGAGTATCACAAATGTCTTGCACGCTACCTTTTGTACTACCCACATCTTGCTGTGCCTCACATGAAGACCAACCTGCCGCTAACTTTTTAAGGAATGGCTTGGGAAGTATGTTGGAAAGAGGAAAACAAGCTGATCAGTTGACCAGCTACAAGCTGCGCTCATCTCAACCCAGTCTTAAGGCTGTGATTACAATTTATCATCTCCCTCCATTGAGACCCACATCTGCATTTCCTCACCCTTGGCCAGCATTTCTGCTAGTTTGCTTGGTGGAGTGACCCACATCACCATTCCTGCAGAGTCTGAGTCCATGGTTGCCTTGCCCTTTTATACTATCTATGCAGTGATCATTGGTCACTGTTCTACCAGGCATGGAGACACCAAGAGACGTCCCAGTGATTTCCTAGAATTCTGCACATACCCCTCCCTGCCCATGCTGTGTGGCAGCAATCCTGTTTCCTCCTGATGGCCAAGGATGATGATCACATTTGTCTACCCACTCCACTCTTTACCTCCTGGTCAAACAGTATGAGAGGTACAAGGGAACCGGGCAGAGCTTTAGCTACAGTGGAATACTTACCCTTTTAGTGCAGTAATCCTCAAATGGTGATGAACTTTTTACCCCCAAAAGACACTTGGTGATATTTTGAAGCATTTTGCTTGCAACAGCTGGGAAGATGGTTGCTACTGGTATATAGTGGTTAGAGACCAGCAGTGCTGCTAAACACAATGCACAAAGCATGACCTCACACCATAGAATTATCTGACTGCAAATGACAGTAATGCCAAAATTGAGAAACCTTGCTCTGGTCAGAATGATTCTACCCTAGGGACCTGAATGTCTCACCCAAGTCCAGAGCTGCAGAGCCATGGAACACACAGTCTGATCCAATGATCTCTGGGAGTGGTAACACAGAGGCTCATTCAGTTCACCCTATTCTAGCTACTGGGGACACAGCACCACAGCATCCATTGGTTCAGTGTATAAGCCACGTTCCAAAGGACAGTGTTATAGAACAGCCTCATCAAAGGGTGGGCAGGTTGGGACATTCTTCTACTCAATCTTGGGGATGAGGGAAACCCATGATATAGAATACTGACATGGTGCCCAGTCTATTACAACCATGCTGAATCTGGATGAGCTAAAGTGATACATAGGGCCAAGAAGCATCTGGTGTATCTGGAATATATTCAAAATGTAATGGCAAGGCCTTATTCATCATTGCCACAGTGTTGCCAGCAGCCATACAAGTGCCAGGCTTAATACATATCTGTTGAATAAAGGTGAAATATCAGAGCTAGTAAACAAAGCTTAATGGATGAGTGAAATCCTGCCTGAAATTGTCCCATTGCATGGAGTATTTTAGTGTGGCTACTGGTGTCTTCTTAAAAATGAAACTCAGGAGATCAGATCTATGTTCTTCTGGATGTCTGATGTCAGAAAATGCCATATCTCAGATTTGTTCTCCATGTCTTTCATGGCTGGGAATGATTGGCCATTATTCAGCTTTGGTTTGTTTGTATAGCCTTTCCTTTTAGATTCAGTAGTCTCCTTTGTTTTCTGAATGATGGTTTAGCTAACACATTCACGAAGGAATCATTTTAGCTAAATTTTTAAAGAAATTATAATTCAATGGGTGAAATGAGGTGTAGAGAAGATCATAAACAAACAGAAACAATGGCATAAGAACTCTCTGAGTGCATTTTCAGGTAATAGTAAATAACTGGAGTTTAGGACCTATGAATTATACACATCGACATAAGAGGAAACCCTGGAAAAATCTGGCTAGGTTTATAGTTTGCCAGGCCTTTGAGTACCATGCTAAAGCATCCTCATACCCTCATAAAGGTTCAGTTGCTGATGATTTATTACATCCTGCCTCTGCACTATGCAAGCATGCTGTCTGCCAGTGTGCGATGTGCTTTGATCTCTAACTGCTCTGTCTAATCCCTGCCAGTCTCCCCTGTCCATGCACCAGTTCTTCCTAACCACTCCATGGCCACCTAAATACCTTCCCTAAGCTTTTTCTTTTTGTATTTCTTAATTCTCATTGCGTGCTGTTTCACTTTTTATTTGATTTGTCTCCACTTCATCACTATAACTTAAAACCAATCAAGGACAACCCACTAATTTCTTCTGTCCCCTATATCAGCAAGCAGAGTGCATGCAATTTTCATTCTAGGAGATTCACCTTGGGTCAAGTTCTTTTCCTCCTCTCTCTCTCTCTCCCCCCCACCCCCACACACACACATACACACACTCCCCAACACCACTGTGTTTTTGCTGCCTTTGTGCATACTTTTGCTTTTAATTCTTCCTGATGAAATCTCATTTTGTCGGCTTATTTCCTAGATGGGAAGTGATGGAATTTTACGCCTCAGCACTTCAGCTCTGAATAATGAATTTTTTGCATATGCAGCGCAAGGGTGGAAGCAACGACTGGCAGAAGGTGAGTTTCTGTTTTCTGTTATTCTGTGACATTGGCATACACAGTTGTACTGAGTGTCCTCTTTCTCTGATTTCCAAATTTTTTCCTCCCTTAAATATACTTTAACTTAGTAAATTTACATCCCATTCTAAATTAATTCATTAATTCTTTTGTTATACTTGGCAGTTTGAGGGATCAGATATTTTTGAAGAAAGCATGATTTTATCTGAGACCTGATACTTATTTTTTATATATTAAGATTTTCTCTGGGATGGTAATTTTAATCACATGGTTTAATCCACTGTGTATTGTCTGCTGGACCCTAGAGAAATTTGATGAAATACATTTTACCTCCAAAGCTGCTATTTCACCTTATCCTTTGTTGGGTTACCCAACTTCTTGAAAGACTGAAATCCACCCAGGGCTACCAGGTTTTTACTCTGTGTGCACTTAAGCTGTTAGAAGTTAGGTGTGGGCCCACTATATAGAGTATTCTCCAAGAGGAGAATGCTTTCTGCTAGCATTGTCTAATTTCATCATCTCAGTACAATAGTGCAATTCAGGTTCCTCCTTCAATGTTTCATTTGTTTTTGATCCCATCCAATTTGAAACCACCTTCTTGAGACACTTATGATCTATTTAAGGTTGTTTTGGGGCCCACCTTTCTGACAGCCCTTTCTCAGTTCCCTTCACAAGCTTCCTTCTGTTGGGAAATGTTGATGTCACTAGCATTTTTTTCTCTAATCATACCTATAAGGGTACTCAAAAAGTTCATGGAAATATAAATTGTACATTCTCCTATTCTCCAAGCAGCCTTATTCACCACCTTCATTCCAGCTGTCACCGCATGCCAGCACTTGCAAATCAGACTCTTGCTTCCCTCTGTACTCCAGTGTTCCATTCCCCCATGGCTACTAAATCTCACTAGCTGATATTAGGCAGCGTAAAACCAAGATGCCCAATATTAAATTCACGGTCTTCCCTTTCATATCTCCTCCTTCTGTTTTCTCTCCTTCTATAACGTTGCTTCTTTCCTCACCCCTGTTGATGATCTTAATAATATGTTTGAGCTTCCATTTCCCCAAGCCTGTCTGGTCAAGTACTGCACACCTCTTCAGCCTTCCCACTGCTCCTGGCCCAGTTATAATCTGCATCTCTCACCTATGATGTTTCGTAAACTCTTAGCTAGAGTCCTCCGCTTTCTTCACCCTGTTGGCAATCTGTCTAAGCTGCTTACTTGGCTATGTTCCTCTCACACTGAATGCCAACAGGCCCTCCCTCTGTCTCGTGTAGCAAAATGCATAACCCCCTTTGGAAAACATGTTGGGTGACTGGCCTTAGTCTTATTTTCCCATTTATTTCCTATGTTCTCACAATTGGACACTCAAAAGAAGATACATTTATATTCATACCTCTGATTCTTATAACTTAATTACTTAATAAAAGCCTCATTATCTATCCTTCAAAAGCTAACTCAGGCATCAGCTTCTCCATGTGGTCTTCCTTCATGTACTTAGGCAGCATGAAGTACTTTCCCTCTGTACTTCTATACACTTATTCCTTAGGCCTAGAGAGGGCATGTAGTTTATAATATAGTAAACTACAATGCCTCTTCTCCCACCAGGATAGTTTCAGTAAGGATGGTGAATGTACATTCTTTCATTTACAGCCCCTAGCATGCAGTGCATCTTTTTAAAGATTAATTTATTTACTACTTACTTATTTATTTTTGAAAGAGCTACAGAGAGAGAGGGAGAGATGGGGAAAGAAATATCTTCCATCTGCTGGTTCACTCTCTAGATGGCTGCAACTGTCAGGGCTGAGCCAGACCAAAGCCAGCAGCTTCATCTGGGTATCCAAGGTGGCTGCAGGGACTCAAACACTTGGGTCATCTTCTACTGCCTTTCCTAGACCATTAACAAAGTTGTATGAGAAGTAGAGCAGCTGGGATATGAACCAGGCCCATATGGGATGCTGACATCACAGGTGGCAGCTTTACCCACTATGCCACAAAGCCAGCCCCTGCAATATAATTGGTAAATGCTTTAGAGTTCATCTTTTGTGAAATGACTCTTTGAGTGATTTTCATAAGAGAAATTTATAGAAATGACGTCACTACTCATTCTTTTTCTTTTCAACACCTATAAATTTGTTCAAATGGATGGTTTGTGTCCCTTATTAGTTGAGAGATGAGGAGACCACTTTTATTCAGTATATTAATATTTTCCTTCCAGGGGAATTTACCCCAGAAATGCAATTGCGGATAAGGCAAGAAATTGAGAAGGAAAAGAAAACAGAACCTTGGAAAGAAAAATTCTTTGAGAGGTTTTATGGAGAAAAGTAAGTACTAGAGCATTTTTTCTCATTTCTCATAGAAGGAAATGAAAATGTAATTCTCTGCTTCACATAGCACACTCAGATGCAGTAAAACTTAATAAACCTGTGATAAAAGGCGATAGTCCCTCGGTGTACGAAATTGCAGGTAAAATTATAGTGGCATATCAGCACTTAAATTTTAAAAAATGCATTTTCAAGGGTTTATAACTTGTTCATGAAAATTCATTTTGGACCAAAAATAGCACATGAAATCCAGTAGCAGTCAATTTTGGTTTTCTTAAATGGATCTTAGTAAAATTCTCCAATTCTTTTGCCTGAGTATTTCTATTAATGGATGCTTTAGAGATAAGTAGTTTTACTAAGAAACATATCTAGTTCTCATATTTTACCCCCAAAACATTGATTGTGCATGTAGATGCTAATCTTTGCTTAGTTCTTGTTTTAGGGAAAGTCGGAGGTGTTATTCTTCATGTTACCCATCATCCTCCTCCACCTCTTTTCAATGTATTATTTATGTGTGTGTGTGTGTGTGTGTGTGTGTGTGTGTTTCCTTTTTAAAACAAAAGCGGCAACAGGTAAATGTGGTAGTAGCTAAACTAACCCAGAAGCCATGAAGCTTTAAAGGCCTTTTGTTTAGAAGACATAATCCACATGGGCAGAATTCGTGTCTTACAGACATCCCTGAAAAGGAGGAATTGAGGCACTATTGCCAATAACTTCAGATCCTCCATAGTAAAAGAATTTGTGCTCTAATCCACACATAGGAAATTAGTGTTTGAAACTTATTGCTTTCTGTAAAAGACACAAAAGTAGTTGCAAGTAAGAAACCCTGTGCCATTTGATCTCATGTCACATAATTTTACCCATCAGTGAGGGGTGATGTGCCAGAAAGAGTATCACATAAGAGTTCTTCTTGAAAAGGAATCTGGTGATTAGCAGGCCACTTCCTCGGAGTGAGCTAGCCTTGATGAGTTGACCGTTGGTTGGGAAGGCCTGTTTATAATCTCTGTGTTGGAATTCCTGGATGTACGTACCTACATAAGCAAAACTGATGTATTTCCTCAATGATTAAAATGTGGCAGGCTAGTAGTATGTCTTGTCTATACCTGTAGTCAACAGCAGTATTTCTCAGTCCTGGCTGCATCTAAATCCTCCTTGGAGATTTTTAAAAATAGATTTCTCAGACCAACCCCAAACAGCCTGGTAATTTCTAAGAGTTGAACTTAGGGATCAGTGGGTTTAAAAGCCTTGCAGGTTGTCCTGTTGCCCAGCAGGCTTGCGAGCCCTGGAGGTTGGGACTGAAAGTCCTGCAGCGGCCCTACATCTCCTTCTGTCTGTGAAAGGTGACGTTGCGAGCACTCTTCTCAGGAATAGCGGAGCCATTACTGCATTCATCACCTCCAAGGACTGGTCCTTAACTGCAGAGGGAAGTACTTACTCTGTTATTGATTCAACAGTATTTACTCAGCCTCTCCTCTGTGCCAGATACTTCTCCAGACAGGGATGTGGTCACCCCTGGGGCTTCTCAGACTCTCCTTCTGAGAGCCTACATTCCAGGCACTCGGCAATACACGTTGAGGCTCGGATAGGTCTCAAGGAGCTTATTAGCAAGTATTTCATTTAATTCCCAACAAATGTACAAGGTAGCCACCATTATTATTCTTCTAATAAGAATTTTAAAATTTTTTTCAATTAAAAAAGTTATTATAATAAAAAATGATTTTGAGGGAAGGTGAAGCTAAGTAGTTTTTCCAGGTTTATACTATCAGGTTAAGTAACCTGCTCGAGGTCTTAGTCCTGCATGTTCTTAGAAAAAAATCAAACAGAGGAACAATTTTTGTATGAAATTTAGCAACTTCACAGATCTCCTGGATGCCAGGCTATATAGTCCTGTCCTGGGATCTGATAGCTATGGTACTATACGTAAGCATGACCCTCCACCACCATCTCCAAACTCTGAATACAAAATATTCCTCGAGTAGATCCTCTCCTTGGTGTACTGTGTTGATGGATATCTCCTTCCATCGTTGGACTTATTCCTTGTTCTTTTCTATGTTTGATTATGTATTAGATGACAGATATATTTTGTATATTTCATTTTACTTGTATTTCCCCAATATTTTTGAGGGTTTGCTCCAGCGCAAGACAGTCTTCAGCTGACCAACACCCTGTACCTTCCCTTTTCATTGCTCTAAAGTTTTTCAGGAAGTTAGTATCCAAACTTGTCTCTAGTTAATACATGTCTGAATTAGTCCTCTGATTACTGTTATGGATATATATTATGATTCTTGTTGGTTTAGTCTGCCTATAAAATAATACCACCATTTTCATTTTTGTTGCTGAGAGATCACCTATATGGATGCTAATTTATGATGAAGGAGTTTGGTCTCTGAATTTTTGATGTAGATTTCTGGAGTTTAGGATTTTCCTTTGTATGAAATGGGGTATGCTGTGAGCATCTTCCTTGTATGCCTCGTGCCATCTTAAATCTATCTTCTTATGAAAATAATTTTCATTATTTGAAAGGCAAAATGTGTGTGTGTGTGAGAGAGAGAGAGAGACCGACCGATCTTCCATCCACTGGTTCACTCCTCAGATACCTACAGTGGATGAGCCTGGGCCATGCTGAAGCCAGGAGCCAAGATTCCACCCTGGTCTCACACTTGGGTGACAGGGACTCAAGTACTTGGGCCGTCATCTACTGCATTCCCAAGCACATTCTCTGGAAGTGGAGCAGCAAAAACTCAAACAACTCCAGTACAGGATGCCAGCATTGCAAGTGGTGGCTTAACCTACTGAACCATAGTGCCAGCCCCCAAGTTAAAATTTTGATATAAATATATTTATGTTGTTATACACATAATACATATATATTATTATATCATTACCTACATTTATATTTAATAATATTGTTATTAACCAAACAACAGAAATATGGCTTCCAGGGCCTTAGATTTCTATATGTTATATACAGAGCTACTTATCAGTGGTATCTCTGCTTGACCCAGTCTCTCAGGGGACTTTATTTCTACCTAATTATTCTGCTTTAAATTTGTCTATAATATAATTTTGCTGCTCTTAGTAAGGCATACTTATAAATTGTAACTGACTTTAAACCCATCTTAGGGAAAATTGAGGGGAACAAAACTAATTATGAAGGTAGCATCTTCTATCTTCCTTTCATAGCTTTATGAATGTTAGTAAAGAAAGCAGTGATCAAATACCCCAAAAGTATATTCAAGTTCAATTTCCTTTCATTTTGTGCATTTTATTTAAATAAAACTTAAGGTGGATTTCACTGAGCTACTTTCTTGCATTACAGCTCTACAGCTATATTTCTTCACCCAAATGGGTTACTTTCTCTGGAAATGTTCTCTCTTAAGCTTATCCTCATGACTTCCTATATCCTATTTCTCAATCATTGGATGCTGATATTGTAGCTTAAAACCACATTCTATCACAAATTTTATATGGTCTTTGTTTAGACACTTAGAAGCTGCAGTAAGGTAATTTGAGTAACATTTCTTAAATTGGCTTAAGAACCAGTGAGGTAATTTTGAGGTAATTTCAACATCAGAATTTGATGTATTGCATTAATCTGCTATTGTTCTTATTTGGTTCTGTTGTATCCCCAACATTTAGATAATTTTCTATTATAAGAGAATAAGTTTTTTTTTTTTTTATTTGACAGGTAGAGTTATAGACAGTGAGAGAGAGACAGAGAGAAAGGTCTTCCTTCCATTGGTTCACTCCCCTAATGGCCGCTACAGCTGGCGCTGCGCCGATCCAAAGCCAGGAACCGGGTGCTTCCTCCCGGTATCCCATGTGGGTGCAGGGACCCAAGCACCTGGGCCATCCTCCGCTGCCCTCCCAGGCCACAGCAGAGAGCTGGACTGGAAGAGGAGCAACCGGGACTAGTACCTGGCTTCCCAACTGGGACTAGAACCCGGGGCGCCGGTGCCGCAGGTGGGGGATTAGCCAAGTGAGCCGTGGCACTGGCCACTCTGTTTTTTCTTTAAAAAATTTTAGATCTGACACATTCTTTAGCTTTCCTGAACATATTTGCTGATCTTTTGTTGGATCCTTTTTGTTAATCCTTTTATTGACACTTGGTAAAGCTCCTATGTCTTTGCATACAAAATAAGTGCCTTTCTTAGCCAAAAGTGGAGCTTGTTTTAGCTATTATTATTATAATTATTATTAAAGCAATAGAGACCCTACACCACCATAAATTAGCTTACATAAATTAAGCATGGTACTTGGGGATGATAAAATACACTTAATGCATTTACTTCCATTGAATACTGTATTTGTGGGAACTTCAGGTTGAACCTTTCATGTTTTGTGGTTGGGCAGCCCTCTAATATTCCCAATTTCTGTTCAGGTTGGGCATGTCGAGAGAGGATTCTGTGAAGCTGACTTCCGGACCAAACAGTGATGGAGCTGAGAGTAGTTCCTCCTGTGGGACCTCTGGCCCTCCTGGGCCTTCTGTGCAGACGCCCTTGGAAGAAGAAAAGCCAAAAAGCATGAGAAGCGCAGCTTCTCCAGAGCCTGATTTCTGCGACACGCTGTGTCCTATGATAGAGGGTGCAGCGAGAGACGCCATGGCGGAGTCCGCACCTGAGGATATCCTGATTCCTGAGGCGTCTCTGATTCAGGAGGAAGTTGCAGAAGAGGTGGAGACTAGCATCTGCGAATGCCAGGATGAACATCACAAGACAATCCCTGAGTTTTCTGAGGAGTCTGAAAGTCCAGCCCACCCTTGTGAAGAGCCTCAAATAACACCTCCCGAAGATACCTTGGAATCCTGTGTTGTGATGAACGATGTTTTAGAAACGTTGCCTCATCTTGAAGTTAAGATCGAAGACAAATCAGAATCTCCCCAGGAAGAAATGTCCGTTGTTATTGATCAGCTTGAAGTCTGTGACTCTCTTCTTCCTTCCACTTCATCTGTGACTCATGTCAGTGACACAGAACTTAAGGAGCCAGAAACTGTAATAGAGACCAATACTCCAAAAATAAAAACAGCAGCACCTTCTCTGGAAGACCAGTTTCCAAGTGAAGGAGTTGCTGTGGACATGGAGCTGCAGAGTGATCCTGACGAGCAGCTTTCTGAAAACGCTTGCGTCTCTGAAACGTCCTTCTCCTCCGAGAGCCCAGAGGGAGCCTGCACCAGCGTGCCATCCCCAGGTGGGGAAACCCAGTCCACATCAGAGGAGTCATGTACTCCAGCCTCCCTGGAGACAACATTTTGTTCTGAAGTGTCCAGCACTGAAAATACAGACAAATATAATCAGAGAAATCCTCCTGATGAAAACCTTCATGCATCTCTGATGTCAGAAATATCTCCAGCATCCACGTCACCTGAAATATCAGAAGCATCACTTATGTCCACTTTGCCATTAACCTCTGAAGCATCACCAGTATCCAACTTACCTCTAACATCGGAAACATCACCAATGTCAGATTTACCCTTGACATCCGAAACCTCTTCAGTGTCTTCCATGCTTCTCACCTCCGAGACCACTTTTGTGTCTACTCTGCCACTTCCCTTGGAAACATCTCCAGTTTCTAATTCTTCCATGAATGAAAGAATGGTGCACCCACAAAAAAAGTCGCCTTCGGTATCTGAAGAACCGCTCTCCCCGCAGAAAGATGAGCCTTCTACCCCTGCCAAATCCCTGGCTGAGAACTTTATCTCTCAACCCAAGACTCTGTCCAGTACTCCTGAGCCCATCAAAATGGGTCCTTCTTCCATAGCTCCTGAAGCTTTTCCATCTGAAGAATTGCACAGTAAGACCCTGAGTCAGCAGCCTTCTAAATCACACGTGGAAACTGAGAAGCCCTATCCTGCTTCTATCCCAGAACTTCCTTCTGCAGAAATGATGAAAGTTAAAAATCATAGCGTTCTGCAGAGAACAGAAAAGAAAGGCATGTCCTCCCCATTGGAAGTATCTGTCTTTTCTGAAGAGACAGAGAGTAAGGTCAGTGAGCTTCCCTCAGTTAAATTACAGGATAAGCAGTATGTCTCATCGGTGGATAAGGCTTCATTTTCAGAAGGTTCTAGAAATAAAGCACATAAACAAGGGAGCACACAGAATCGGTCGGAGAGCTCGCATGCTTCCAAGTCAGCAGAGCCCTCCAGGTCACCTGAGGGGGTAAGAAATGACAGCAGAGAATCAGAGATATCAAAGAGGAAAACCGCAGAGCAGCACAGCTTTGGAATTTGTAAGGAAAAGAGAGCTAGGATAGAAGATGATCAGTCAACCCGGAACGCATCATCCAGCAGCCCACCGGAGAAAGAGCAGCCTCCAAGAGAGGAACCCAGGGTTCCTCCGCTCAAGGTATGATATTGAAAAAGCTGTCCCACAGACAGACACCTCCTCCTTAAGCATGATTTTTACACTTTCCTCCTCCCAGATTTTATGTAGCAATTTATAATGTAGTCCTCCCAGAACAGCTTCATGGTGGATGATTCTTTTTAAATTTGCATTAGGCTCATACAAGAAATTCAGAAATGTGGATATATTTAGACCACAGTTTTTGAGGAAAAATCTCGGCGGGAGGGGGTTGAGCGGGTACAGGGCCTAGAGGAGGCTCTAGGCCACTGAGACACTGGGGCTTTTGGGATTCAAAAGTGTAGGACAGAAAACTATAAATGTGGGGAAATGTGAAAGATTATTCAGTTTTTATAAAATCTCAGCAAACTAGGGGAAGTAGTCACAAGTCAGAGTAAGCACTTTTTTTCCAATAGCACTGAATACCGCCTAGCAAAGAGGACTTGGCATATGGTAGTGTCCCATTAAATATTTCTTGAATAAATCATTGAAATTGCCTTATGAACCCTGAGGGAGAGTGCTGTGTATATCAAGATACATAAATCTTTTTTTTTCTTTTCCAAGATAGCCAAGAAGTCTTTAACATCACAAAATAATACAGCCTTATAAAAACACATTGCTATTTTATACTTTCTATTCCAAGTAAATATTACCTCTCAGGAAACAAAGTTTTTATGTAAATTGCTTCTGCTTAACTAAATAGAATTTTAAAGGTAATTCAAAAGTAATTGTTTGTTTAAAAAATATCCCTTCCCTCTGTCATTTATACTTACTTGAGGCTTTTACCTAAGCCCACTTACATCATCATTCAATAAAGCGGAGTCCATCATAGGATTGATCAAGAATTATAAGCATCTCAAACTTTATAAAAATGTTTCACTAGCTATGTCATATCTATTTTTCGTATGTGATTCATGATCTCCACAAATTTTGCTTTGAAGAGTGTGGTTGTATTCACTCTATTTAATAAAGCAGTCCCAATTAAATAAGATTGTAGAGATGCTAAAGTTGAACATGAACTTCCAATTAAAAATCAAAGCTACGAATTTTGATTTCCAAAGCCATGGAAATAATAGTGTAAATATCTTTTTCAGGAAAGTCTTTTTAAACGTACCAGTCTGAAGATAGGTATTTTAATTTAAAGATAGGTAGATAGATAGATAGATGCTATAAGCATATTTGGTGGCCTTGAGTTCTTGTGCAGGGAGATCTAAATTTACATTTTTTAAGTATTTACTTTTTTAGACTAAGGGAGATGTTTATGAGGGAAAATTGAATCCCCTCACCAAATTCACCTTTCCTTGACCTTGAATTAGAAGAAAAGTTTCATAAGCAGTTTGAAAATGAGTAATGAGACAGCTCAGGAATATAATTCCACCTATTAAATTTCCAAAGCACAGTTCCAAATGGATATGTTGCTAAAGCGTGTTTCAACTGATTATAATGTAAATATACATATGTTAGGAAGAGGTAGAGAAATTTCCTAGGAGAAGCTGGGGAAAATAAAGCAGGGTGGATGTAGATAGCACGGGACTGACACCAAAGTCACTCATGGGTTATATGACCTCAGGGCAGACTCCTTTTCCTCCAGTGGCTCAAATTTTTCAACTTTCATATGAGGGGCATTCATAGAGCCCTTCCAGTTCTATAAAGCTGTGAGTCTAAGAAAGCTGTAGGCGACTAGAGCATCACAGCATTGCTGTGGGATGCTAGTGGTTAGGGCTTCTGCCTAGCGAATTTGGTGATGACATTGTGGTTCTCTTAATTAGCAGGAGTACATGAACATTGCTGTTTGGGACAGGTATAATCTGAGCAGACTGTAGATTTTCTATATCAAAACAAATGCCCCATTTTCAGAGGCAGAAAACCATACTCTGATCCCTTTGAAAAATAGAACACTTACAAATACAGTCCCATTTCATCTTTATAACAGCTCTGTGGAAGAAATAGACCAGAAATAACTCGTTCCATTTTACAACTCAGTTTACAAACTTGTCGTAGGCGTATTATATATGTATAAGGCTAGGCAGTATGTGAGTACATAAAAAATAGAATCCTTGGTTCAGAGAAGTTACTGGGAGAAACTGAGGTACAGGGATTTTTGCCTAGCATCATAGAGTTCTGTAAAGCCAGATGAGAATTCTCATGTTCTGACTTCTTGGCCAGCATTTTTTTATTTATTTGCATGAAATGAAGACAGATAAAGTCCCAGTTTTTCATGCCAGCAAGGAAGACAGTTTAAAAACTAAATATTTCTAAATTTTTGTTTGCTAACCTCATTTTAAGAAGCATTAAGATGTTGTATGTCCATGCCTAATAAGGTCACTGGTTGATGTTTTTGTAGATTCCAGACAGAGTTTAAAACTTAATTCACACTCTTGCTACATTGCTTGCTGCCTTATACCCTGGAGGCCCACCATGGATTGAGGGTCAGCTCAGTGCCTGTTAGCAGAGTCTGCAGCAAGTTCTTCCCCTAGCATGCTCCGTCCTATACCTCCCACCCTGTGCTCCTGTACGAGGCACTTTATTTTTCTTCTCTCTCCTTCTTTCAGATCCAGCTTTCCAAAATTGGACCGCCTTTTATTATCAAGAGCCAGCCAGTCTCGAAACCAGAATCGCGCACATCCACTAGCACGTCTGTCGGTGGGGGGAGGAACACAGGAGCCAGGACCCTTGCAGATATCAAGGCTCGTGCCCAGCAAGCTCGGGCGCAGCGTGAAGCTGCTGCGGCTGCTGCTGTAGCTGCTGCAGCAAGCATCGTCTCAGGAGCCATGGGGAGCCCAGGAGAGGGAGGAAAAGCAAGAACCCTGGCACATATCAAAGAGCAGACCAAGGCTAAGCTCTTTGCAAAGCATCAAGCCCGAGCCCACCTCTTCCAGACCACTAAAGAGACCCGGTTGCCTCCGCTCAGCTCCAAGGAAGGGCCTCCGAGTTTGGATGTCTCCTCTACCCCTGAAACAAAAATGGAAGGTTCCACAGGCGTCATTATTGTCAATCCTAACTGCAGATCTCCTAGCAACAAGTCTGCACACCTCCGGGAGACCACCGCTGTATTGCAGCAGTCTCTCAACCCCGCTCAACTTCCAGAAACTGCCACGGACTTATCCGTGCATAGTTCTGACGAGAACATACCTGTGTCACATTTGTCTGAGAAAATTGTTTCATCTACCTCTTCTGAAAATAGCAGTGTTTCCATGCTTTTTAATAAAAATCCTGTCCCTGTGTCGATTTGCAGCACTGCTATGTCGGGAGCAATTAAAGAACATCCCTTTGTGAGTTCCGTTGATAAGTCATCTGTCCTAATGTCTGTTGACAGTGCAAACACTACGATTTCTGCTTGTAATATAAGCATGTTAAAAACCATGCAGGGAACTGACACTCCGTGCATAGCCATTATACCAAAATGCATTGAAAGCACTTCTCTTCCAGCCACTACAGAGGGCTCCAGTGTCCTGAGCTCCACAGACGAGAAGCAGTTGCTCATCTCCTGCAGCAGTGCCAGTAACTCGGTCTCCGGTCAGTACACCTCTGTGCCAACTCCTTCCATTGGAAACAGTTTGCCAAACCATCTCTCCACTAGCTCTGTCTTGATTCCCGCCCCGGGAATGAACAACAGGTTTCCTTCTGAGAAGATAGCCATGCCTGGGAGTGAAGAACAGGCCCCCGCATCCATGGGTACCACTGTGAGAGCAGCCCTCGGCTGCAGTGATTCCGTGGTGGCCACGGACTCGCTGGTGGCACGCCCGCCTGTCGCGATGTTTGCTGGAAACGTGCTAACAGTAAACTCCTATGACAGTCCTCCCAAGTTAAGTGCCGAAAGCTTGGACAAGCATTCAGGGCCTCGGAACAGGGCAGACAATTCGGGAAAACCTCAGCAGCCAGCAGGGGGCTTTGCACCAGCAGCCATAAACAGATCAATTCCGTGCAAAGTCATTGTGGACCACAGCACCACGCTGACCTCCAGTTTGTCACTGACTGTCTCCATTGAAAGTGCAGAAGCCACCGGGGACCCGCAGAGCAGATTGGTGAGGACAGAGACATCCATACAGCCCCTGGCATGTCCTCAAGTTTCTGTGATTAGCAGGCCAGAGCCAGCTGCAAATGAAGGTATAGATCACGGAACTAGTTTCATTGCTGTTTCTGCAGCAAAACAAGACTGTAAAACCTTGCAGGCCCCCTGCGCCAGTCTCCGAGAATTGCCCCTTGTGCCAGATAAAGTAAATGAGGCAGCTGCACCTAGTCATAGCTTTGCTGAGCAGGCCCATGGCCCCACTACTTTCAAAAGTGAAGCAGACACAACCTGTAGCAACCAGTATCCCCCAGCTAACCGGATCTGCTGGAATGATGATGGGATGAGGAACACAGGCCAGCCTCTGCTTAGTCACGCAGGTTCAAGCAAACAGAAGGACTATCTGGAGCAGAGCTGTCCGAAGGCTATCAAAACGGAACACGCCAGCTACTCGCATGTGTCAGAACTGCATCCCAGGAACCTCCTGACAAATATCGCTCTTCCTGTGAAATCTGAGCCTCCCGAAGCGGACAAGAGCTTTAGAATGGATACTGAAGACTTCCCTGGCCCTGAGCTGCCTCCTCCGGCTACAGAGGTGGCCGCTAGTGCGCAACCCACGCAGAGCGTGAAAGCTTCCACCTCGAGCCCCATGGAAGAGGCCATCTCCTTGGCTACCGACAGCTTAAAGAGAGTCCCGAGCGCAGGAAGCTCCAGCTGTCGTCTGTCATCCGTGGAGGCTAACAACCCCCTGGTGACACAGTTACTACAGGGCAACCTGCCTTTGGAAAAGGTGTTGCCACAGCCCAGACTGGGAGGCAAACTCGAAATCAACAGGCTGCCGCTGCCTCTTCAAACTACCTCAGTGGGGAAAGCAGCACCGGAGAGGAGCGTTGCTGAAATGCCGACCAGCTCTCCCAACCCAGATGGCAAGGGCTACTTGGCGGGGACTCTTGCCCCACTACAGATGAGAAAGCGAGAAAACCACCCCAAAAAGAGAGTAGCCAGGACTGTGGGGGAGCACACCCAAGTTAAATGTGAACCAGGGAAACTGCTGGTGGACCCAGACGTGAAAGGGGTGCCTTGTGTCATCAATTCTGGCCTGAGTCAGCTGGGACACAGCCAGCAATTTAAGCAAGAGTGGTTGAGCAAGCACTCCATGCAGAGCAGAATTGTCCACAGCCCTGAGGTCAAACAGCAAAAGCGGCTGCTCCCCTCATGTAGCTTCCAGCAGAACCTGTTTCCTGTGGACAAGAATGGCGGCTTCCACCCCGACGCTGGTACCTCACACAGACAGCAGTTTTACCAAATGCCCATGGCTGCCAGGGGCCCTGTTCCTACTGCAGCTCTGTTGCAGGCTTCCTCCAAGAGCCCAGTGGGCTGTAATGCGTTTGCCTTCAATAGGCATCTTGAACAAAAGGGATTGGGAGAGGTTAGTCTGCCTTCAGCGCCTCACCAGCTAAGGCTAGCCAACATGTTATCCCCCAATATGCCCATCAAAGAGGGTGATGACGTGGGAGGTACTGCACATGCAATGCCAAACAAAGCATTAGTGCATCCTCCACCGCCTCCACCCCCGCCCCCGCCTCCCCCTCCACCCTTGGCCTTGCCCCCACCTCCCCCTCCACCACCTCCACTACCTCCACCTCTTCCTAATGCAGAAGTCCCAACCGAGCAGAAACAACCACCGGTTACCATGGAAACCACTAAGAGACTTAGTTGGCCACAGTCCACGGGCATATGTAGCAATATAAAATCGGAACCTCTTTCTTTTGAGGAAGGTTTAAGCAGCAGCTGTGAACTGGGCATGAAACAAGTTTCCTATGACCAGAATGAAATGAAAGAACAGTTAAAAGCGTTTGCGCTAAAAAATGCAGATTTCTCTTCCTATTTGCTCTCTGAGCCACAAAAGCCTTTTACTCAATTAGCTGCTCAGAAAATGCAGGTGCAGCAGCAACAGCAGCAGCTCTGTGGAAACTATCCAACAATACACTTCGGGAGCACGAGCTTCAAAAGGGCAGCATCTGCAATTGAAAAGTCTATTGGGATTTTGGGAAGTGGCTCCAGCGCTGCCACGGGCCTGCCTGGTCAGAACGCTCAGATGCCCGTTCAGAACTTCGCCGACAGCAGCAACGCGGATGAATTGGAACTGAAATGCTCTTGCCGGCTGAAAGCCATGATTGTGTGCAAAGGCTGCGGGGCCTTCTGCCACGACGACTGCATAGGTCCTTCCAAACTCTGTGTAGCTTGCCTGGTTGTGCGATAAGAGCTGAGTAAAAGATGCAGTATCCCTTTTCCGCACGGAAAAGCCAACCCGCATCAGCGACAACACATTGAATAATGCAGTGGCTTATATCATGTTCATTTGTTTTCCTTTGGAACAGAGTCTTTCCCTAGGAAATGATTATTTTCTTGCAGTTCTCACAGAGGGGAGGACGCAGCCCAGCCCTGCGGCTCCACAGAAGCCTTTAGTTGTCATTCCCAGCTTTGGAAAGTTTCTGTCAACGTGTGTGCAGGTCACTGCCCCCTTTCTTTCCTTTATTTTCCCTTTAATACAGCTGTAGAGAAGAAAAGGACATGTTTACTTACTTACTAGTCACCAGAAGTGCAGATGTAGAAAGAGAATCGTAGAAGTAAATTAAGGTGGTCATGCGTTTCTCTGTAGATGAGCCATTACGGTAACGGTGTTGACAGTTGACTCTTCTGGACCTACCTGTACCACAGTGGTTAAGCCGTATTTGGAGAGGGGAATCTGATTTAAACGTGTGATGCCTTGTATTTACTCCTGTCGCAAAAGACGCATCATAGGAGGCATCGATGAGCTCCACTGTCGTCCTTACTCTCTTTCCTCCCCTTTTGCTCTTTCTCAGAGACTGCGGTGGAATATCTGTGTCTGCCTTGGATTTTGAACATGTATTGTAGTGAATTGCGTCCTGCACCTGAAATTGCAGCATGGAACCAGTATTCTGGTTCTTGCCCTTTGACACTTGATCATGTAAGACCACTAGGCCAACAGAGAGCCGTAGGCCCAGAGGATTTTGGAGCCTTATGTGTGGCATTTAAGAGCAAATATGAAAAAGAAATGACCTAAAATTCAAAAATAAATAAATAAAATGCTGTATATGCATGCCTAAATAAGTTGATAATGTAAATATTATTCTATTCTATTCACTCTGATGCAATTATTGGATGTTAAAATTTGGGAGAAGATAACTGTAGCCCTTGCTGATGGCACCAGTGCACTCTGGCCTCCGCCTTTGCAGAGGTGGCCACATCCTTTTACAAGTGTCATCGTTGACAACAGGGACTACACAAGGCTGAAATGTTGACATTTTCCGAACCATTTCATTCTTCACGATTCACAATCAATCTATTTGCATTTGGCTCTGAAATAGCCCTTATTTTTAAGAACTGTCCTAGGTATTGCATGTTTTGTTTTGTTTTGTTTTCCTCAGGTGAATTCAATACATTCTTCAAATCTGGGGGAGTGGAACCGCTTTTGAAAAAGGGATACTGCATCTTAACAGTTATCGTCAGTGTTTATCCCGTAAAGACTTGAGTGTTGAGTATTTGAGCTTCGCTCCGTATACTTTGGCCACCCTCACGCAAAGAACAGCTGTAGTTCAGGAGGCTCTGTTCCCAAAAGGAAGGTCACAAAGCACACACACACTGTGGGAAGATGAAAGAAAGCGAAAACCACGCCCATTTAACTTCCAATCCAGAGCACAAAATGTGGAGTGCCATTAACCCATTGATTGATTGTGGCTGTAGGATAAAAACAAAAATCATGGGGTAGGGGGGAAACCATCTGTATCCAGGGTAAGAATGACATGTTCACATGAGGTCATCCTAATCAATGTAAACATTTTGACATTCCCTTGAAACACGTCTTAAAAGTTAACTGGAATGAGCGGAAGTTACATTCCTGAAAAAAGCAAAACTCATTTGATTTTCTGTAGTAATCAACTATGAGACATGTTGTTTTTTTCTCCATATTTATTATTGTGATGTTGCCAAATCTCTGTAGGTGATAGAGACGTCATTGTTATTAACAAATCTCTGGTGGTGAAAGATAATTTGTCTTGAGAGAAAGAAAAGCAAAGAAAACCGGCCCTTCTCAAGGAATCTAGTGTGAGTTCCAGCAGGTCCTTATTTATCTGCGTGCCAGGTTGTATTTGGGTGCTGTCGTTAATTCTGAAGATCATGCAGTTAGTGTCACAGCGAGGTATCCATGTAATACAGACACTCGCATGCCAACTTCTTCCAAATTCAGTTGCCGCTATCTCAGTGTCAGCTACTGTCTACACCAGCAGATTCAAAACTACCGCATCAGTAACTGGCACAATGTTGAAGGAAACTCCAGTCTACAAAACCTTTGCACTCTGTATGTGAGGTACAATTGAAGCTGATGTGAGACTGAGCTCATTGTCAGTTCCGTCATTGTTGAATACTGCCTGTGAGTACTGGGTATAAAGACAAGTGCCCTTCCGTATGTTTGGATTTTTTTCCCATAACAGCTTTGGAGACTCAACTGTTGATTGTGCATGGATTCCACCACCCAGGTCCAAAGAGCATAATTTTTCTGTGCCCTTGCTTTTTTTTTGTCCCCAGTTCAAATCCCTAGTATCTCACATGGTTTATATTACTGAGCATTAATACTTTTGGACTAAAAAGTAATGGGAAGAAAATTCAGAAGTAAATGTGGGTGAGATATTTTTTGGTATCCACTTAATATATATATATACAAAAGCCAGTACATAAATTTGAGTTAGCTGAATAGGTTTTTAGTTCAATAATTTCTACATGTGTCTGCCTATGTCCTAATAGCTTGTGTATGGTTATTGTGGTGTAATGTGCAAATTTCATTATGTGCATTATCCTGATTATTGGACAGCATTATATCCCTATCAGGAATAGAACTTGCACATATAACATGTAATTTTTTTTTTTTCACAAAGGATGCGTTTCCCTAAGTAGCACTTTTGGAGCAAGGGAAGGAAGAAAACTGCTCTTCCCTTATCCCACTCCTATATGATATGCATATGCCTGAGATGTATAAAGGCGTTTAGGTAGTTAATGGGCATGTTAATAAGAACGTTCGGATACAAATTTGTTTTCAAAGTGAAAATATTTTTCCTTCCCCAAAGTCAGAATATTGGAAACTTTGGTGAACTGAACACCATCGTTACATATAACATATCCCTGCAAAGGTCTAGTTTTAAAGAACAAACTTTAAAACCAACCTTTGAGGTTGAGCCTGGTTGTTACAAAGCCTTTGGCGTGGTGGTATTTCTGGGATGAGCTCTAGAAGGTTTGGTTGACTCCTGAACCATGGATATTCTTACTCAGTTCAAAATACACACACGAAACCAAACAAGCTGGTGCATACGGTGCTTATGATGCAATCAGGAGTCAAACTACACACTGCTGCAGCCCCGTGTCCTTGATGAACACTTGCACAATTTCAAAAGCAGCAGTTCCTGTGGCCTCTGGTTCACCAGTTTCTCCTTGGCTTAGTCAGTCCCTGGGATTTGACGCTGAAACCACGCTTGGGGTTGCTTCGTCTCCGTGGTCGTGAGGCCTGGCACCGCACTAGCTGAACGTTCACAGCTGAGAGGCGCTGTCCCTCTGTGTTCCTCGAGGACAGCGTGAGGAGTCCTCAAACAGGACCTCCTCTGAGTATCAGGGGCCTGTGTAGCCAAATGTCACTGCATATGAAAATCTGTCGTCTTCACGCTTTGTCACTGTAAAGCAAACAGAAAGCATTTTTACTATAATTTAAAGGAGCTGCTTTTTTATAGCACACACTATTTCGCTTTGTATATTTGATAGTTGCAGAATAATTTAGACTGTAGACAAACTTTGTTGTATTTGTACTGTTTATGAATGTTTCAGAGAAAGTGCTTTACTCGGTTGCCATAATTTTCTTGTACTGCTGTATTTCCCCTGCTTCATGGAAACTATTTTCACATATTTTCAGTACAGATTTTTAAATGTGTGTTTGTGTGGTTTTTTTAAAAAAAATTGTCTTTTTTTTTTTTTGGTCAGTATTCTGAATGTTTACATCTTTTTGACATTAGCCATTTAATGCCTTTTTAAAAAGGCAGTATTACTCCTACAGTGTAACAGCAAAATGTGAAATCAACCCAAACATAACTGCATGACAAACACAGATTTGGGGGTGACGCCCCCACACAAACATAGACATTTTGTATCAGCATACAGAAAAGTAGAACCCTCCTTCAGTCCTCTACCAAAGAATATATTATTCCCCCAGGAAGAACTCAGAGCAGGTGTGTCAAATCCGCAGGAAGGGGGAGCAGTTGACTCAGTGAGACTGCTACAATTGAATACTGTTAGGCTTGCTTTGATACCTGACTAAATGTGACTGAGTGCAACGAGCATTGAAAAACGTTTTAGACAGTGTTTTGTTTAGAATTCAGGGATCATGCATTCTTTAATGGTGCTGTTTGTTTTTTATTTCTTCTTTTCTACAAAGAAAAAAAAAAGTGTTGCCTACAAAAGTGACTGCTCACAATACCATAAGTTAAATGAAATGAAATGTCTGTCTCTTCATGTTTCTCTCTTCTTCCCTTTCTCAAAGTAACCATTTGGGTTTCAATATTAAAATATTCTGGAGAAAATAAAGAACTCAAACATGAAACAGTTGTCATTATTTTTTAATGAAACGTAGTTATGTCTCAAATGTATTATTGTATTGAGAATTTTATTAAGAAAAAAATTATAGGGCAAACTACACACTGTTAAATTATCTACCTTTATTTCTGGCATGCCAGATTAACAAGTATAACTATTGTTAAGACAGGAACAACTAAAAGCTATTAGGAATTGATGGTTTCTGTTACATTTATTATTTAGAACTACATTGGATTCTCATTTTCATGAAGATATTGTTTATACCAAAATGCATTCTAGTCCAGTAAATTGTTACTACCATATTTAACTTCCAAAATGCATAGAACAAAAGATGGCCCTTTAAAAGAACTGTTCTGGTTAATTTTTTATCCTACATTAAATATTATAGCTTGTTGTTTGAATAAAATGCTGTGAACCATTGGGGCAAAACTGCTTCAGTTATATTTACACAAATTAAAGAAATAAGCATATCTGTTCGGTAAGATGAATCAGAAAAAATTAGCTGTAATTGGTGCTAAACCGAAGTCCAACTGGGTATTCATCTACATGGAAAATATTGCCTTTAGCCACCAGATGGCGAAAGAGGATGTTTACTTTGGGAACAGAAAAACCATGCTTCCAAGAACGAAAATGATCATAATAATGAAAATCCAGCTTATCCAAGGAAGCCCAGTAGAAGATGAAGATTTCTTTTATCACATTATTTCACTACCATGATGATGTTTCTTTTGTGTTTCACTTTTTGTTTATATATTTACAAAGTGCTTTCTTAATTTTATTTACAATGATTGCTATGTAAAATTGCATTACTCCATAAACAACATCTAGTCCAAAATCCATTACATATACTTCAAGAGCACATCATCCTGGAAGGTGACATTTATTGAAACTGATTTGACTGCTTTACATATCTTAATTCATTTTCATAAAATGGATTACAGTTATAAAATACATAAATATTTTATAATTTTAATAAATTGATATGAACTACTTTGAGTAACAATCTCATTATCTGAGTATGTATTTGTATGCATTATAAACTTTATCTAAGAACTAGTGACATCCAGTAATTTATCAGTTTTCACGTAGTTTACTGCATTCAAAGATGATGTTATTTAGAAGAAACTTCCGAGAATAGTTCTCAGAAACAGTTGGAGGATCCTTTCTGTAGAAAACAAGCAAAAAGAAAATTTTTCCTACTCTAAAAGTGTTCAAAGTCTTTAGTTAGAGGTTGCCTAGGCTCAGTATAAGTACAGAGCACAAACAGCTATCCACAATAATAAGCAAAAATCAGGACACCTAAATAGAGCAATGAATTTAATCCTCTTCCTCACAGAAACTTTTATCCAGATTGCCAATGTGATTAATTATCAACCACTCTAAATACTTGGGGGAAGACTGCTGATTTACAAAATACAGACAATTTGTTGCTATTTTATTTCAAAGCAGTTTTATTTCATTGCAAGCTTTGCAGTTTTATTAAATATCCCACTATTCATGACTATAAGTAATACTGATATTAAAAAATATTTAGCAATCTTCTGAGGCACTAACCAATCCAAACAGATGCTGGATAAATGAAGAGAGATGATGGTTCATTTGCAACAAATCAGTGAGAACTGGCTGAATAGCAGGCTGTGAATGAAAAAGCTCCCTAAGTCTGTTATCAGCAGTTGGGATTTATACTAGCTATATTCATTGCATTTATGGCACAGCTTTCTTCTGAACTGCTTTTCTTCAGCTAAGCGTGTCATCTACAATTTCACTTATATTATTTTTTAAGCAATCATTTAGAGATGGTTCAAAGGTGAGCTTTAACCCAACCAGAACTAAATGTCTAAGATTGTTTTTTTTTTCCTTTTTGCTCAATTCAAGTGGACTCTTCAATGGATTCCCTTATAAATAATTACTTGGCCAAAAGGTGAAGAGCACGAACTGCTTTAAAAGAAGGCTATGGGGGCCAGCAATGCGGCACAGTGCGTTAAGCTGCTGCCTGCAGTGCCTGCACCCCATGTGGGCATTATTTTGGTCCTGGCCACTCCACTTCTGAACCAGCACTGTGCTTATGCACCCAGGAAAGCAGCGGAAGACGGCCCGAATCCTTGGGCCCTTGCACCCACGTGGGAGACCCAGACGAAGCTCCTGGCTCCTGGCTTCGGCCTGGTCCAGCCCAGGCAGTTGAGGTCATTTGGGGAGTGAACTAGCAGATGGAACATGTATGTCCCTCCCTCTGTCTCTATAACTCTGCCTTTCAAATACGTAAGTAAAATCTTCAAAAAATAGTTGTGGACACTGAATGTCCGACTCAATTTTTGTAGCTTCATCACAGATTATTACTTTTACAATAAGCTTGTAAACATGAAATAGAATTCACCTTTGGCCCAAACATGTATCTTGAGTTTCAAACTATGATTTGATCTTGAGAAAAAACTGTGTTGCGAATCCTCGTTCCTTAATGACAAGGGCCCGCAAAGAGAAATCCGGACTGCAGAACTGTGGCTCTATTTTACTTGATTCATTTGGCTTCCAGCGTCCCACTCTGGGATGTCACAGCATTTGCAGATAAGGCTGGCCTCAGCCACCATAGGAAACACAGCTGCTCCTGGTGTTCTCTTCCAGAGGGGATGAATTTTGTGTCTGTTTATTCACATAGCAAAAAAAGCATGATTTCTTATTGTCATATAAGATTCATTTACCATTCAAGTTCGATCTCAAACTGAGGAATTGAAGGGTTTGATATATGAGTGGGGACAGTGCGGAATGATGGCTTTCAAACAGAAGCCACCAGCATATTGTATTCATCTTCCCTTAACCTTGGTGTTTAACATCGATTTTTTTAGTACTTCATGTTCTTTGATTAAAATTTTTATATCTTCAGGGAAAAAAAGGCTATAGGAAATGGATAATCTCTAACAGAAACATTCAGCAATTTAAAAAATACCATTTTCAATGCTACATTCAGAGTGGAATTCTAGATAATTCATTAACTCTGATCAAATCCTCACCTGGTGTGAACGGCCTCATGACCAGAAGGCCCTTCCGGAGGATGGCACACACTTCTGAGCATATAAACCACAGGGCAGCTAGTACCTGTCACTTTGCACTTCTCCTCTCTCCCCTCCCCCTCTCCTCTCCTCTCCTCTCCTCTCCTCTGCCTTATTCTTCTTTCTTTCCATCCCTCCCTTCCTCCCCTCCTTTCTTTTCCATATTGATATTTGAAAGGTTCTGTCGTGAAAGCTGTTCTGTCCGTAAAGCGTTGCTTGGCAAAAACCAGGAAGAATTGAGATATCACTGTCTAAAATCCCAGTTTTATAACTGTGATTTTCAGTAAAAAAATCATTTACAAGTCTTTAGGCTTCATGATCTAAATATGGATATTTTATAAGTTTGCTATGTATAGATAAACTTCTGGAGTTTTAACTGTGTACTTAAACCAAATATGGCAACTTCCTAGAGTAGTTCCAAAAAGACAGTCTTTATTTAAAAATAACATTGGTGAAATCTGTGTACCAAGTGCTACAAAGCATTTCACAAGTATTATGTTTATCCTTAGAAAAACCCTGTAAGGGAGACACAATAAATAAGGATCCTGAAGCTTAGACACCTGAAAGTTACTAACACTCAACCAGGAACTGGGTGGAAAGATTTTTTTTTAAAAAACCAAAACTCATCCTCTTAACTTACAAGATGTGATGACTGCTTCTCAGATCCTCCTAGGTACTGGGGATTCTGAGAAAAATTCAAATGCCCCCTCCCCTCCCAAATGATAGGCTAGTGTAAAGAAAATAATTGCAGTTTAATGTGCCAAGTTCATCATTAAGACATGAGCAAGATGCAGTGGGGGAGGGCTCAACCATGTGGATGCAGCCATTTAGGACTGCCACAGCTGAGAACAACGTTCATCAATAGACAAACTGTCCTTCCCAAAGGTGATCACTTCAAAGTATATGACTCTTTACCTAGATCGCAACTCTGCCCCCAAACCTTTCTTTCATGAATTTAACAATGTGTTCAGATTTTTTTTATTATTATTTGACAGGTAGAGTTATAGACAGTGAGAGAGAGGCATAGAGAGAGAAAGATCTTCCTTCCACTGGTTCACCCCCCAAATGGCCACCACGGTCGGCACTGCACCGATCTGAAGCCAGGAGCCAGGTGCTTCCTCCTGGTCTCCCACGAGGGTGCAAGGGCCCAAGCACTTGGGCCATCCTCCACTGCCTTCCCGGGCCACAGCAGAGAGCTGGACTGGAAGAGGAGCAGCCAGGAATAGAACCGGCACCCATATGGGATGCTGGTGCCACAGGTGGAGGATTAACCAAGTGAGCCACTGCACCAGCCCCTCAGATATTTTTAATGTTATTAACTGATTTTGTAAAACTCAAATTGATGTTTGTGGTGTCTGATGTCATAGATGGCCTTGTGTTTTTAATATCTTTTGTAAGTTAATGTAATACATATTTATGATTTAAAAAGTCAAAGGATGTTCCAGGCACTATTACAGAAACTAAAACAAAAAAGATTTCAGGATCTGGATATAAATTGCCAAGTGGGCTATCAATTTTTTTTAAGGAAGACGACATTACTTAGCAGGATTCATATTGTTCAATAAGGCTCAAACAGCAAAACAAAGAGCTAGTATTTCACATGCAAGTGGTAAGTTTGAATTGGAGTCAGTAACTTATAAATATCACATCCAGTACTTTTGGGAACTAGAAGCTTCCTACTCTAACGGGGACCACAGATGGGGAACATTTTGGCTATGGGGGTGGGAGGGAATGAAAGCACATGGAAGATGCAGCCACCAGGTACCACCAGGGTACATAGGGCCAGAAATCAACTTCATCTGGATCAGTGCTTTTCTAAGTAAACTTTGCCTGTTTCAATGAATCCTTTTGCTCTAATTCCACACTGGAACACAAGTGATGGTTACTGCCCAGAGGAGCCTCTGCTGCACTCCAGCTGTGCACAGGACTTCCGGTTACTCACACCCCTGCTCAGTGTCTGGGT